AAAGAAAAAAAAGAAAAGAAAAGAAAACGAAAAGAAAAAAAAAATCGTTAGTTTTCTTTAGTTTTCTTCGTTTGCTTCCTTCTTTCTTTTTTTTTCCTTTTCGTTTTCCAGTTACAAAAGTTAAAAATTTTTCGAATGATTAATTCTTTCGATCAGTAATAAGAATAGAACAAATTGTTATTTTATTGCTGAAATTGCATAAAATTTTTGTTTGATGAAATTTGCTACAATTAATTGATTAAATTTCAATTATACAAAATTTTTCAATTTTTTATTTTCTTTTTTTTTAAAATTTTTTTTCGATAATCAAATTAAAAAAAGTGAAAAAAAAGGTATGTTTAATAATTGGCATAATTTTGCTTAATAATATTAAGTTTAAAATTTCGGTTAATAGCTGAGATTTTGAATGAATGAATGATTATTATGAATTATTTATCTTTTCATCAATGAGAAATATTAATTGTTTCTAAATTGTTTCAGTTATAGGATAGAATCTATTTTGTTTTCAAATCACTTTTTCAACTTTTTTTTTGTACTAATTAATCAAATCGATTAAGTGATATGATATTGGAAGCAGTAAAATGAGTTTATAATGAGAGATCAAAGGAGGGAATAGAACATTGCACATTTTTATCATTTTTATCAGTATCACATTTCACTACATCAATTAAGATAAGACTTACAATTTAGTTAATTATTTCAATCTATAATAGTGAATCATATCAACTTTCATCTGCATATTTATGACGTACACGTACGTATACGTATGCGTCAGTAAAAAGGTAAGTCTATTAAGAAGTTAAAATATATAAAAAAAATAGAAAAATAAAAATGATAGGGAAAAAAAAAAAGAAAATGAATCTCTATTTTTTTTTAAAAAAAAAAAAGGATTCATTTATTCCATTAAAATGAAATAAACAATAAAAAAAAACCACAAAAGTTCTTGTTTTCCTCTCTTTCTTTCTTTCTTTCTTTCTTTCTTTCTCCCTCTCTCTCTCCCCTATCTCCCCTTTATTACGGAGAAAATCTCAGTAATATGAAACAGGAAATTTTATTTATGTTCAATTATCAAAAAAGAAAAAAAAAAAAATAAATGAAAAAATTAACAACAAAATTTATTGATCTCATCCAGTATGATTCATCCCATCATTTTCCATTTGCAACTATTAAACAAACAAAATCAATCCTTTGTTATTCTTCTTCTATCAATAAATAAAATGAAATTGAAGAAATGAAAAATTTATTATATTCTTTCATTTTTAATTAAAATTAAAATTGGAATTGATGAAAAATTTTAGAGAAAAATAAAACAAAACAAATTTAACATAAAATTTGATTAGCAAATCAAAAAAAAAAAAACGAAAAAAAGATACGGACTCTTTCTTTTTTTTTCTTTTTTTTTCATCAAATAAAAGAACAATAATTATTTATATATTTTACTAATAATGATCATTTTTTTAATAATATAATATTTTAATACTTATCTGATCATTCATTTTTGATCATTTCGGCTAGTTGTTCATTCAAGAAAAAAAAAAAAAACTTATTCCATTTCCGGAATGATGTAATTGGTTAAATGATACGGATAACATTTTTTGACATTTTTTTTTCATCATCAACATTTATCATTGATGATATCTTTGATACAATTTAAACGATGAAAAATTTTTGCATTGTTTGATGTAATTGATTCATTAACCTTGAAACTGTCACACATTTGTTACCAAATTTTTTTTAGCAAAATTTAAAATTGAAATTTTTATAGGAAATAATTCCAATGATAGTAATTTGTTAATAAGATTTAACATTGAAAATTTCCTTTTGTAATTTGTTAATAAGATTTAACATTGAAAATTTCTATTTTTTTTTTTTTTTGTCAAATTGCTATAAGTTTCTTTTTTACCTTTACTTTTCCTCAGTCATTTAAATTTACCTTTATTTATTTATTAATTTGGATAATTAAATTCATTTGGATGCTGTAAATTTAAATATTAATGTATAATAGTCAAGATTTAATTTAATTTAATTCTTTTCACTTTTCTTTTTAATTAGGTAAATGTTAAGAAATTCATTGCTTCCTCTTTTCTT